AAAAAAAAAAAAGTGAATGAAGAAGATCTAAATCCACAACACAAGATCCAAACACCATTCACAACTCAGAACCACAGATCCAAAAAAAATAAATAGATCTACTAAACATTAATATATAAAGATCACGAAAAAAACACATTTAGATAGTTAAAAAAAAAAAATATCAGATCTGAATCCATATATATAAAAGATCTAGATCTAAAAAAAAAAACATTTAGATATGTAAAAAAAAAAAAAAAATTAGATCTGAATCCATATATATAAAGATCCTGATTTTTCAAAAAAATCATAGATCTATTAAAAAAATCATAATATATATATATAGATGAAAGGATGTGCTTGCTTCTTCAATGGCTTGCTTCAGATGCAAGGATGTGCTTCAATCATGATAGATCTACTTCAATCATCATAGATCTATTTGCTTCAGATGCTTCTTCAATGGCTTGTAAGTTGTAACAGAGGAACTTTGAGTGAGAGGGAGAGAGAGAGAGATGAGATGCGGTGAGTGAGTAACTGAGGAAGAGAGAGATGAGAGACGGTGAGCACGACAGAGAGATCAGAGACGGTGAGTGAGTGAGTGAGTGAGTGCGAGGGAGAAAGAGATGGGAGGGAAGAGAGAGAGGGAGATTAGATGTGAAATGAAAAACAAATGAAATAAAAGAGAGAGAGAGAGAGAGAGAGAGAGAGAAACAGTATAGAAAGTATATAATATATATATATATTACTTCAGGGACAACCAGGGCCGGGGCCGAGGCCGGGGATTGTACATTTATCACTGTCCCCCGCCTATCGGGAGTATTTTTCGGAGAAAAACCGTTTAAATCGGGATCAAGAGATCGGGTTCCCGTCGGGTCGGTTTCAAATTGCCATCCCTACAAAGTATAGGAGTAGAGGTAAGTAATTGTTACTTTGATTGTTCATTCAATCATTTTTCTCCATCTCCCTCATTCTTCTTTTAATTTTTCTTTTCTTTAACACTTGACAATTTTGAAGTCCTCTTCATTGAGGCAAAAGAACCGTCAATGCAATCGCTTAATAATTGGCTTGAATTTAATCTGTAAGGATTTTTCAATCCTTACTGGCACGCTCGCATTTATGATATTTTTCTTCGTAGAAAAAATAAGCCAACAAATACATTATCAACATTTAATTAATAGATGAGCAGATGAATGAATAGTAATACCGTGACATGGACTAGGTCATAATTAATGGAAAGAAAATGTTTAAGGGTTGGTTTGGCAAGGGCTCATTGGGCTTTTTTGGCTCAATGAGCCATAAAAGACAGAATAGGCTCATGAGCCACAACAGACAAAACTCCATAATCATTACACTCTTCTCTCACAAAAAAATTAAAAAAGCCAAAAAGCCAAAAGCCCTTCCTAACCTAAGCTTTTGAGCCCAGGCTCATATAGTCAAAAAAGTCAAAAAGCCAACCCACTTCCCAAACGGAAGACTCATAAAAAAATCTTTTACAATTTGATCCAAAATGATGTAACATGATATATATCAAATTTTAATTTGTCATATACTCAATTGTATAGTATCTATCTCTCTTTATCACATCACTATGGGTAAATTTAGAAATTCAATTGGCAAGTCTCTAATAATACTCTTAATGGAAATAGGGTGTAGACCTTAACCAAATTATAATTTCTCCTTCGCCAAAGTGATGCGTAGTAAGTCGGAAGAAAAATCTACGAAACCGAACCAATTGAGCCTCTGTTTGGCAAGATGGTTTTGAGGTTTTTTTGGCTATTTTAGCCATAAAAAACAAAATAGGCTATTTTAGCCATAACAAACAAAACATCACATCCAACCTATAATCATTACATTCTTCTCTCACAAAAAAAGTCCAAAAAGCCAAAAAGCCCTTCCCAAACCAAGCTTTTTAGCCCAGACTAAAATAGCCAAAAAAGCCAAAAAGCCAACCTACTTCCCAAACCAAGCCTGAGAAATTTTTAGTTTTTAATATATTTTTTTATAATTTTCGATTTGTCTGAGGGATTTGAAAATTTTTCTGTCGATACAAACTTAATTAATCAAAATATTATATTAAATAATTTTATTTTTTGATTTTTTAACATTAAAAAATAATAAACCAAACATACACATTTTGTAATAAAAATTTTGGATGAGACATTTATAGAGTAGCTTTTATATTTTTTCTTAATTTGTTTCTAACATAAAATCTTACAATTTTTTTTTTAATATTAAGAATGATAATTAAAAAACAAAAAATTCATACAGAATTTTTATATACAATTGTGTCGCTAAATGTGTACCATTCAAATAAAATATAATAGTCATAAAGATGATATTTATTTACCAATATGATGTTGCTATATCATTTTTATAATAATTTTTGTATGAATTTTTATATGGATACAATTTCTCTTGACATTAACCTTAAAACTCTAAAAAAAATATTTAGTATGTTTGGTTTGAGTTTTCTGGATTAAGTTTTTTAAAAATCAAGTTTTTTTATTTTCGTATTTTTTTTTGTTTTTAGTGAATATTTTTAAAATTTTAATTTTTTTTTTACTTTTTTAGATACACCTTATTTAGATGTATCTAAAAAGTAAAAAATTTATGAAAAAATATTTTAAAAAATTAATAAATACATTAAAAAAAATGTATTGATTTCTTATATTTTTCTTTTTGTATTTTTAGTATTTAGTGAATTTTTAAAAGATTTATTTTACAATGTTTTTACTTTTTAGCTGTATTTATGTTAGGTGTGTCTAAAAAGTAAAAAATTTGCTTAAAATATTTAAAAAATTCAGTAAAAACAAAAAAAAATGAAAAATAAGAAAGTATAATTTTCTGAAAAATATTTTTGAAAAAATGGAACCAAGCAAGCTGATTACTTCTTCTTTCCTAAAATATTAGTTTTTTTTAGGGAATCTTTCTTTTTTTGATAGTACAATTATTACATTTTAAAAATATTAATTTTTCAAAAGTACCATTTGATAGTATAATTATTACACTTTAAAAATATTAATGTTAATGAATTAAAAAAAAGACAAGATAGGAAATTCATTTTATTTAAGTCATTGATTTTTAAAAACAAATTAATATTTTGAGATAAAAAAAATTAGACTAATATTTTGGGACGGAGGAACTAGCAATTTCAAATTTGTGCACAGTTTGATTAAAGCAAACGAAGACTACGACCAAAGCTCAAAACAAACAAAAATGAGTGAACATAAATCGTAGGCTTAAGCTTTCAATAAGATTTTAGAGAGAGAAAGCGTGACAATGGCTATGTCCTAATTTGTAATCATAATAGAGACGAGGGCTTGCTGAGAGAGAAGACGGAGAGATAAAGAAGGGGAATTGCCAGTGTAGGTAAGAGATGGAGTCACCGTTTTCTTTGCTGGAGGTGGAGAGTTGCCAGAGTAAGAAGGAAATTGTGTAAGAGTTGCAGTGTGGGAATAATATGTTGAGGGAGATTGCCTCGTTTAGCAACCTTCAGTTTTAGTCAAAAAATCACTATAAGTTATTAAATTATTCTTTCTAATTTTTTGCAATATTTTTTTAAAAAATTAAAAAATTACTACAATAATTTATTTCTAAACGTGACCTTTAAGGCTCACAACTTTGTTGTTGCGACACACAAACATTGGTTGTCTGTAAATTCAACATTTACGAGACAAGCATTTATAATCTCGCAAGAAAATATACAGGGATCTTGGGTATGCAAGTTTATGTAATGGGATTTTGGGTAAATTTCCCTTTATTTTCTTGCAATTAAACTGAAAAGACATTCCACTTTCCTCTGAATATGACTAGTTTATGTATTTAACATAAATATTTCCATTTAGAGCCAAAATCGAATATTTATTTTTATTTTTTGTTTTATAAAAAAAATAAAATCTTCATTTGATGATTAGTAGATGTTAAAATGTTACATCAATAACTATTTATATTAAATATAAAAATAACTCAAGGTGATGGATTATAAAATTAATTCACGTTAGGCAATTTATACATGATCATTTTTAAGTTTTCAAATAAAAATTTTGTAGTAGTTGCAAAAAATGGGAACTTCTTAAATTATTCTCATTTTGATGAAAAAATCTAAAATATTTTAGTTTTTACCTTTTCTTTCTTTCCTCTTTATTTTCTTATATTTATGAAGTTTTCCGTAACTGAATTGCTTTTCTTTCTTTATTTAATTGTTTTTTTTTTCAAATTCTTTTACTATTAAGTTAGAGTATCTGTATGGACTCTTTAAACAAGGCATGTTAGTTATTTTAGCTAGCTTCATATATTTTAGTCACTCCAATGGGATCTCCAGCCATACTTTTCACTTTTTACTAGCTAAAATATAAAAAAAGTTTTTTTTTTTCCCTCTCTATATACTTCAACGCTACTATTTATTTTACCTATTTATACATACAAACTACTTAATGAGTCTCACAAGGCTCTTCAAATGTAGCTACCCTTAAATTGTTTTTATTAAAATAGCTATTGTAATAATTAAATTTTTTAGTGTTTGTTAATTTAAAATTATATTTAAATAAAAAACATAAATTATAAATTATAAATAAATTAAAAATTATGGCCTTATAAATTAAAAAAATTTAGTGTTGTTAAATTATAGATTACAAATTTAAAATTATATATTAAATAAAAAATTAAATTATAAATTACAAGGGTAAAAAGTCTTTTGAACATTTATCCTTATCCAGTTGTCTAACAAATATTGGATTCACTAAAAATAGTCATTTCCAAACATCTAATCCCATGAGAAAACAAATACAGATACCATCTAATCTACCAAATAATCCGAGAGATTCACAGTCCCAGGATTCAAGTCCGATGGATTCTAATCCCCCTTATCCAGTCCTCCAATCAAACACACCCATAATATCATATCTGTATACTATATTTGTGCCATGCTTCATAGAAGCTGAACTACCAATAATAATACCGATAATAGTACTAGTAGTAGCATAACAAGGACTACTGCATTAGAAAGAAGGAAATTACCACAAATCCAAAGTCCCAGGTGCATCATCCGGGTACTTTGCCTCCAAAGCCATAATGTCAGACCACTGAATTTCTATCTTATCTTTCAAACCACCATCAAGGACTTCCCACACAAGCTTATGCTTGGCAAAGTAACACTTAGCAACCAAGTCCCCTTCATGTCTTGATTTGTACTGCAATTCAGTAGAATTTCATTGAATAACAGGCTGAAAAGTTGAATGTATTACAATTACAAGTTGGTCTTAATTCTAAAGAAATAGCACTTATACCTCCCAGGTCCCAATCTTTAGTAACGAGGCAGGAAAGTTCGAAGCCTTGAGCTTATCATTGGCACCAGAAAACAGAGGAAGCATTGTGTTCTTTCTTGGCCTGAGTTCCGACTTTTGGAGAATTTCCTTGAGAAAGCGTCATTTGGATCAAATCCAAAAGCGAGGGGCTTTTCTTGAGCCGCAAACCCAATGGACTAGGCTCATCAAGTGGATTGTATTGCGATGGTGGTATTGGAAAACCACCAAGTTCCAAATTACACTCTTGTTGCTAAAACAGCAAAAACATATGTTAGACAAACATTTTAATTAAATCAAAATAACAAATAGGAAGCACGGATACAGATACGGGGATACGGATACGATACGATACGATACGGATACGGCGATACGACAAAATTTGAAAAACTGGATACGGGTCGGCGGGGTACGTTCGTAAAAAAAAATATTTTTAACAATTTAGTAATGCAGTATGCATAAAATAAACCTAAGTAAAAGACAACTTGAAAAGAAGAAAGATTCCTATAAAACTAGAGGTCTTCAAGTCAATTAGCTTCAACTTGTTCCCCTTCATCAGTGAATATCACAAATCTTAGTTAAAGCCCAAAAATCATTCTTAAATAAAATTTCAGCAAATATAACTTTTTAAGTCATCAATGATAGCCTAGAGAGCACGGATATGGATATGGATATGGATATGTGTGATATGGGATGTGGATATGGCGATATGTCAAAACTTGAAAAAGTATGATACGGGTACAGTGGGATGCATTAGTAAAAAAAAAAAAAAAAAATTTAATTTTAATAATGTAACATGCATGAAATAAATTAAAGTATATTAATAAATAAAGAGAGGATTCCATAACCAAAAGTGCTCAGCATTCATAAAAACATCCAAACTAAAGCAAAGCAAATGCAAATAAACATTATCCTTACAGCCAACATCAAAAAAAGAATGAGAGCAGAAAGAGAAATGAGAGTGAGAAAGCGAAGAGAGAGAGAGAGATAACAAGGATACATCATTGACAAATTCTATTACTTTACTCTCACTTATTCCTCTTACAAAGAACTAAACAAAATATATAAGTAATATGTAACTTCGAGTATCCGAACTTCAAAATTAATAAAAAATTAATTAAGAAGTATCCGATACGTATCCGCGAGTATCCGAGGAGTATCGGTATCCGATAAGTATCCATACGGAACGTCACACTTTGAGTTATCGTGCTTCAATGTAACTAACCCTTTCGCGGCAGCAAAGTAAACACAATGAGGTCAAAACCAAAACAACAAAAGTAATGAAAGCAAATTTAAGAATAAGAAAATTGGGGGAATATGGTCAATTTTCATTGCAAAATATCTTGATGATCCTCCATCAGATAGAAACACCAATTAATCAAGTAATCCAAATCCTCAAGGCTCTGTCTGTTTGTTGATTTAGCAAAACATATTTCGAAAAGAACAAAACAGCAAAAAAATCCAAACTTTAACTTCAAAAACTTAAAAATTCCCATCAAAACCGAAGAAGTCTGCCACAAAAACGATATAATTACCATTTTCCATTTCCATTTTCCACGGAAACAAACATGGCCTGAAAACGCGAATCTGAATTCGCAGAACAAAATCAAATTTTAAACTCAACCCAGTTCACATACATAAATCACAAATATAAATCATCAATCAACTATGCATATACAGCCTATATACATACATATATATATATATAAGAGAGAGAGAGGAGAGAGATCGAACCGGAGGAGGAGAGGAGAGTTTAGATCGCTGTTGAGAGGACCATGGTGATCCTCCGAGGAGTCCTTGGCCTCCAGCTTCACGGAACCATTTTCCGGCGATGGGACAAAGATTCCGGCGGAGCCTTGGCCGAATTCATCAACTGAACCATCGATCAAACAGAAAACCCTAGAAAAAACAAAAAGAAAGCGAGTCGACTCAGAGAATCTGAGCTATAGAGAAAACCCTAGAAAAGCTATGAATATATGTCTATGTGCTCTGCTTTGCAACCAGTCAATGGAGCTTTCAATAAAGCCGAGTCTTTTGACCGAGAAGCCCAACTGCCCACTTCTCTCACCCCACGCGCTTTTTGATAGTCCTTTGTCACGTGCTCCAAGACCCACACACAAGGGGATGTTTTGGATTGAGTTTTTTTTTTTTTTGCTTGGAGTTTGGAATGATTTTAATTAGTGGTTTTTTGAATTTTTTTTTGTAAAGATTTGAGGGTGAGACTATTGAATGAAATGAGATATATATATATATATATATATAGTTCCTCCGTCTGCAAAATATTAGTCTAATTTTTTTTATCTCAAAATATTAATTTTTTTTAAAAAATCAATGACTTAAATAAAATGAATTTTCCTATCTTGTCTTTTTTTTAATTCATAACATTAATATTTTTAAAGTGTAATAATTATACTACCAAATGGTACTTTTGAAAAATTAAGTATTTTTAAAAATGTAATAATGTACTATTCAAAAAAAAAGATTCCCTAAAAAAAACTAAATTTTTAGGAAAGAGAAGTAATCAGCTTTGCTTGGTTCTATTTTTTCTAAAAATACTTTTTCAGAAAATTAATTTATACTTTCTTATTTTTCGTTTTTTTTTTGTTTTTACTAATTTTTAAAATATTTTAAGGAAATTTTTTACTTTTAGACCACCTAACATAAAATACAGCTAAAAAGTAAAAAAAATTGTAAAAAAAATCTTTTAAAAATTCACTTAAATACAAAAATACAAAAAAAAAAAAATATAAGAAATCAATAATTTTTAAGTAATTTATTAATTTTTTTAAAATTATTTTTTCACAAATTTTTTTTTACTTTTTAGATAACATCTAAGTAAAGGTGATCTAAAAAAAGTAAAAAAAAAAAAAAAGTTAAAATTTTAAAAAATATTTCACTAAAAAAAACAAAAAAAAACACGAAAATAAAAAAACTCAATTTTCAAAAAATTTAATCCAGAAAACTTCAAAACCAAACACATTTAATATTTTTTTTGAGTTTAAGGAAAGTCTATCCATATAATTTTATGTTTTACAAAAAAAAAAAAAAAAAATCTAATCCTCCTTC